TCAAACACTCTCTCCCCTTTCCATTCTACCAGCATTTAATCAAATACACACATACTCACGTCCACACACACACACCCACACACACACCCACACACACACACACACATACACACACACTCATACAAACACACACACTCTCTCTCTCTCTCTCTCTCTCTCTCACACACACACACACACACACACACACACACACACACACACACACACACACACACAAACACACAAACTGACTCTCTATCTATCTATCTATCTATCTATCTATCTATCTATCTATCTATCTATCTATCTATCTATCTATCTATCTGTCTGTCTTTCCTTCTCTCCATACATACTGCAAATAATATTATACACATGTTTACACAAACACACACACACACACACCCAAACAACAACAACAACAACAAAACAACCGACAACCGCACAATCAAGACTGGACCATATCACTAGGATCGGCCCCACATATTCCACAAACCTCCACCCAACTCCCCCACTTCCCCTAACTCATAAATCTCCATTTACCCCACTCCCACCTGACGCCCCACCCCTACCTACCCCCACTCCAACCTACCCCACTAACACTTACCTTTCCCCCACAACCTCTCCTCCAGGTACCCCTCAACCTGTACGACTGTTTCAACGGTAAGGGTGGTTACTTCATGCTGGACCAGTGCCCCATGAGAAACAACACACACGAGATACTGGGGTATCTGTGGAGGCATTTTGCCTACCACTACCGCAGCAGGTGAACCTTTTCTTAATTTCTCTCATCTCATCTCATCTCATCTCATCTCATCCCATCTCATCTCTGCTCCTCTAATTTCATCCCATCTCATCTCATCTCATCTCCTCTCATCTAATCTCTCCTCATCTCACTTCACCTCACCTCAGCTCACCTCAGCTCACCTCAGCTCACCTCAGCTCACCTCAGCTCTCCTCAGCTCACCTCATCTGATCTGATCTCAACTCACCACCTTCCACCTTCGTAAGATAGATTAGACAATACAAACTTTATTGACCTCAATTCACCTCACCTCATCATATCATCTTATCTCACCTCACTACCTCCCCTCCCATAAAGAGCCTCCATGGGTCTGTTCGTGCTCGTGAGCAGACTTGTATTGTGATGTTAACTAACCTCATATCGTGACGTAAGTCTCATATCGTGACTTTATTCTCCTATAGTGACTTTAGCTTTCTATCGGGACGTTAGCCCCATATCGTAACATTCGTCTCTTGTGATATTGTGACGCTAGCCTCATATCGTAACATTTACTCATTATCGTCTCACTAATTTCATATCTAATTTCATACTCTCCCCCTCCCCCTAACCCATTCACACCCCCAGAGCCCCCATGGGTCTATTCATGCACGTGAACTGGTTCAACCTGAACTCTGCCAGCCATGAGGCGCTGACCACCTTCCTTGACCAACTGTCAATCATGCCAGAGGTGTGGCTACTCTCTGTGTCACAGGTGATCCAGTGGATAGAGCAACCCACGCCCATCTCCGAGCTCAAACGATTCAAACCCTGGGGCTGTTAGCTTACCTCTGACCCTCTGTTTGTTACAGTTTGTTTCCTTTTTGTTGGCTTGTCCTTCTTGTTGTTTATGTCAATATGTTGTTATTGTTGTTGCTGCTGTTGTTGTTGTTGTTGTTTTTGTTATTGTTGTTGTTGTTTTGTAGTTTTAGTTGTTATTGTTGTTGCTGTTGCTTATGCCGACATGTCGTTGTTATTGTTGTTGCTATTGTTGTTGCTATTATTGTTGTTATTATTGTTGTTGTTGTTGTTGTTGTTGTTGTTGTTGTTGTTGTTGTTGTTGTCGTCGTCGCAGTTCATGCTTAAACTGACAGTTGCTTTATTTATGGATTGTATTGATTATGCTCCTATGTTGTCATTGTCGTTTTAATTTTTCATGCTGATATGCTAGCTAATTATTGTTGTCATTATTTCTAATGATGTGTTGAGAATATGTTGTTGTTTATCATATTTAATTTGTTGCAACCATTCACTGTTGTTGTTAGGGCTACCAAGATTTTGTACGTCACGTACTCTTGTTATGTTATGTTATGTTATGTTATGTTATTTATTTATTTATTATGTCTTTATATTACTATTTTTACTGGAGGTATTACCAATGCATTTATATCTAGTTTGGGTTATATTGATGGAGGACAATACATGTATGTGGTGAGCCTGGTGCCGAAATTTTTTTCAGGGCAAAAGAAGGCAAAAGC